CCACTCTCATGGTCCACCTGCCACAGGCGGAACCTTACTGGCTAGAGCGGTAGCACCACAAGCCCAGCCACTCTCCTGAGAGGGCCGGTTCTGAACGTACCAGATGCAGCGGGCGATGGGCCCAAACTCCGAACAATGCACCACCCATCGCGTTTATTGATGAAATTGATGCCATTGGGACAAAAAGATAGACTCATTCGAGTGGCGAGAGAGGAAGTCGGTGAATGACGTTAGAACTGTTGAGCCACCGGGTGAGTTCGACTCAAGGGGAGACGTGAACGTTACTGTGGCCACAGACTGACAAGAAACTTTGCCTCCAGCACTCAATAGACTAGACCGAGTTCCCTCCACCCGCAGACGTCGTCCCGGACGACTGGGTCACAGTTCACGTGACCTCCCTGCAGCCAATCCCAAGGCATCCTGTGCAGAAGCTGGGCTGGAGAATGAAAGCAAACGAAGTCTTCAAAAACTCTAAAGAAAATGTTCTTTATGAATCACAAGAAGGCACTCGCGAGGGGCTGCATCTCCAGGGAACCTCGGTTGCCTTCAAGGAAGTGGGTGGGGTGTCCCGACCCCTCGAGGCCAGAGTAACCCGTGTCCCAGCTGTCCTTTCTCAGCAGAGCACCCTGTGCTCGGCGCGCCTTTGTGGCAGGATGCGTCGGATGCCCATTGGCCGCCTCTGTCTGCCAGTCACATGCTCTGCTCTTCCCAGAGAAGCCGGTTCTAAAAAAAAAACAAATAAGACGGTTCCAGGTGGTTCAGTGCACGTAACCCTGGTCGCTCCTGACGGGTAGCCTGACCCCTCACTGCCAGCGCTGTTCAGGGCCAGGCTGCCTCTCTCTCCTGCCGAGCCAAGGCTGACATCTAGTGGCCACGGAGAGAACCCTCCAGGCTCTGGGGAAGGCGCTGGGTTTCCTGCCCTGGGTTCCAGACACCCCTCAGATACTATTCCCGTACAGCCGCGGACGCTAGTTCACCAAGTGTGAAAAGCGTGAACTCTGCAATCAGATCGATCTGACTTGGAGCCCTCACTGCCAGCTGGTGGCCGGGAACTGAAGTCATTCCCGTGCCTTTGCGGACTGAGGGGACGGTGCCCCTTGCAGTGTTCCTGTGGGCACTGGACGAGCCACGTGGGGTGCCAGCCCTGTCTCTGGCACGTGGCGCATGATTAATGGCAGGCAGTTCGGTTGCGTTAGGCATTGTCCCGTCTGTTCTGCTGTGTTGGTTCGGGGGCATCAGCGCCATCTCTGTTTATGACCTCTGCATCCCTAGCTCTGGTAGATGCTGAGACAGTGAATGGGCTTCTGGTGCGTGTGGGTTTCTCTGCTCCCCACTGCCTGTGGGGAGG